GATTTCTCCTTGTTCAAATTTTGCTCTCCTTTTCTCTTGTGTTTATTTTTTTTTTTTTTTTGCCAGATCTATAATTTTTGGATCGCGAGAAGATCGATTTAGATCTCTCTTACGCAACAATGTGTGAGTATCGTTACACTTGATATATTGATCGTACATATACGTGGATATTTATATACACTCGATCTTTGGAGAGTTGATTGTAGAAGCGAACATGAAAAAATTAGTTGAGACTTTATTATAATCTCTTTAGAAGAAATTGCTTTTTTCTTTTTATTATTATTTTTATTTGGAATAATTTTAATTAAAAAAGAAAAAAAAACTAAACGTATACATATGTGTCTTTGATTAAATAGTTTGAATTACTTTGAATAGTTTGAATTAAATGAAATGAAACGAGATAGAGCTCTATCTTTGTCGTATTTAATTAACGTGATTAATAGCCTATTTATATTTTTGTATATCAATTTTTGTATTCATTTTAGCCTCCAGAATTATTCGATTCTATTCGGCTATTTCGTGTCCATTTTTTATGTTTACCATAAAAGTATGACGATGCACGTAATATTGTGAAAAAAAAAGTAAAGATCGATTAGCATAGTTTCGTTTGACATTTTAAGAACAGGAATAAAATATAAACCAGATTTTATTTTTGTTAATTTTAAAAAGTTAAAAAAAAATTTCATTTTTTCCAAATGATCGAATATATTAGTTATTAAACTGAGTTTTTATTTCAAAATATTTCAAACTTGGAGCATGAAATTACGAAAAACAATGAAGGATGATTTCAAAAACCTGTGAAAATTATTAACTTTGAGTCAAATTTGTAATATAAAATTCTAACACTGCTATACAATAACTAAAAATAGTGAAAGATAATCTACAAATTCTCAATCGATCTTTCATAATTCAGTTTCCAATAGCATTCTTAATTTATATTTTCATCTCTAATTCGTGCATTTACTTTCGTGAAAAAAAAGTGCAATTTCTTCTGATTTCGAGCAACCAGATGACACATCGATAATTCCAGCGATCGGAAATAGATACAGAATCGATAAAGGCGAAATAAACGATGAGAATAACTTTTTATCTTGGTGATTCAAACTTACATGGTAATCGGTTATCCAATAAAGCGGTGACTTCACTTTTGGCACACTGTGTGTACACACAACAGGGACAAGTAAGAGCAGAACAGCTTCCTTTTTATTCGTGACTCGATGGGACGGAGAAAGCACGTGGCGGAGAAACGGGTATGAGTCATTATCCAGAAATACACGTTGCTCGTTCGAGATACCGAATATATTGAATGTCAATCGTTTCTTCTTCGATAAATCGGCCATCATCTATAACCGAGACCGAGATAACTCAATTCTTTACATTTTTTCTTTTCAAGATCTATTTGATTCACGAATTTCCTTCTTAATCACTCGACAAAATGAAAGTCAATACATATACGTTGCCATTTTATTAACAATCGATTTTAGGTATCGAGAAGAAAAGAAAAGTCGATATAGAAAGATATCGATCGAGTCTTATTTGTTAAGTTACGATTGAAGTTTATGTTAATCGAAGCGAGATCACTTCATCTCTGTCATCTTTGCTCGCTTATCCCTATTTCCGTCTCGCTTCTAACACAAACTTCGATTACTCGATATAGCTTGATAAACGAGGCTCGATCGATATTTTTATACACCAACTTTTGTTTTCGCCCGTAGAATCTTCCAAAAATATTTCACATTGTATCAACATTAATATATTTTGGATTAAATAGAAGTGCAGAGGCTCTTCAATCCTCAAATAGTTTTAGAAACATGATCCGAAAATTATTTTCCGCAGCTGAACGAACCTGAAGTATGGTTTACGTCATAGTCAGGGATGGAGTACAAGTGTGAATTGAGTATGATGAAGACCCTCTTTCAGGCTGATTACGATATACAATTTCAAAATCGATTTATCCTTTAAAAGATTGATTAAATGGTAATATTTGAATTTTGACTCAAGATAAATTACTGTAGGCAGAATGGATAAAATTGGAAGTAAGAAATAGGATTAATGATATTAATTTTTTTATTGTTTTTAATTAAGTGTTCTCTTATTTGATGTGGTTGATGAGAATTGATTTCAGTTTCATTATTTTTAAAGAGTGATTTAAAAAAATCTAATCATAATTAAACTGTAATAAATATTTATATTTATAGATCGAATTTTTATGTTTGATTAGTCAAAATCAATAAATTTATTACAAAATGAAGAAAAAAAAATCATTATAAGTTCGAATATGTATATCTTGAAATTTTTTGAATATGAATCTAGAGATATTTATTCTTTTATTGTTTTCAATGAGACGTTTATGTATCTTATTTGATATAATTGATAAGAATTGATGAGAGAATTTTTTCAGTTTTATTATCTTTTATAGTTTTAATAAATCTAATCAAAATGTAATAAATATTTCGATCAAATTTTGATCTTTGACCAGAATCAGAATTATTCAATAAACAGAATGCAGAAATATCAACGAATAAAACTTAGTACTTCTTCTGCTATAATTGTATATATTTTGTATAAATCTTTTTTCATTTAAAAATTCAGAAAGAATTTTCTTTCTATTATAAAAATCCTATATATAAAAAAAAATTTTTGATTATTACTTTGATTATTACAAATCAATTTTACATTCTAACAAAAAATCACATAAAATTGAAAATTTCTGAGTTCTGCTAAGAGGAACGAGATTTCCAAAACATCATTGTACATTTTTCTTATCAAAACGCAACGAAGCTCAAAAATAAACGATTTGAGTCATGCGTGCACTGGCATTCGACTCGAGGATGATCAGATTACGCAATCGATTATAATTATATTTCTGATGTAATTGTGCGTGTTTCAAGAATGAAAAACATTGTCTTTGACGTTGCTATCGGATTTCAGCGAAAGTTCAGCTTCGTTTCTCTTTTCTCTTTCTCTTTTTTCTTCATTTTCTCCAGCTTTCGATGGAATAAAAGCCTGATTTTATATGAAAAGAGTGGCGGAACCGACAGACTTCCGGCAAATGGAATTCAACTTCACCAAGAATATTCTTCATGGACGGTTGGTCGGCTTATTAACCATGTGTTTCAAAAGGGAAAACTAATTTTTTTCGGGTTAACGTGATTCCTAAATTGTGAATATTTAGGACGGAATATTTTCGGCTTTTAGTCACAAATATTTGATATCCAAGATTGTCCTAATTTGGCCAACGGATACTCTGAACTGAAATAAAGGCAAAATTCGATATCAACAGGATATGGATTATCCTCATCATTATTTTACTTTTCTTTTTAGATGTTTGCGGTTTTTTGGTTTTCCTATATGATTTCATTATATCCTGTCTCTCTTAAATTAGAATCTTTGCTAATTGTGTCTTATTTTTATAATATTCTTTCATTATTCTTGTTGCTCTCTTGTAAACCTAAAAAATCGATTATTGTGGTTTTCCATCGCAACCCTTTCTCCGTGCGACTATTTTCGATCAAGCGGAAATGGGTCTCTAGACGGATTGTTTACTCTCGCCGAACAAATACACCTCCCTTTCCGCCAAATCAGGCTATAACCGCTCTTCCATCATTTATCGCGCTGAAAAAAAAATTAAATTGTGAATTGAGCTATAAAGAATGATTTAGATAGTGTTTCGTTAACGCTAGTTTCTTTAATAAGAAAAATTTAGATTATAGTTCCAATAGTATGTTCCAATAATATTTTATTAATTGTATTTATTGTAACGAGAAAAAGATTTTGATTTTTATATTTTGATTAATATATAAAAAAAAATAATGAATATAGAAAAATTTATAATACTTTTTAGAAATGAACTTAAAATTTTTAAAATCAATTAAATAATTATTCAGAAAATTTCAAACTTTTTAATTGATCAATTTCATTTCCACTATGAATAACAATTTAATGATTTAATTTAATGATTTGTTCAAGCACAAATGAACTGCAATCAAATTGCTGTTTATATATATATATATATATATATATATATATATTCTATTTTTATTCTGAATATTTTTAAATTATTTTTATCTATTATTCTTAATATTTTTACCTTTTTTAAACACCTAAGGTTAATGGACGTTCAAAATCACGACTTATAGATAACATCCATAACGTTTCATGTAAATCGTATCAGGATGATCTCTTGGCGTGTAATGTTTTTCTTCTCGATGGCCGATATAGGTAATCACTTTTAACACATCAATGTTTTCAAAGGGTTGAACCAAAAGATTTAACTCTCTTGGAGATACTTAAATTTATTATTAAAGCCTTCAGTGGACAAGGTTTGCCTCTTTCAATTTTTCAAAGAAAACACTTTCTCAAATACCTGTGAAAACAGGAAAAAATGATCTCTATTCCTAATTTGAATTCTCTAGGAATTATCTGCTATTTTTAGATTCTATCGATTGATTTGAAGTGACAAGAATTCTTGATAATTTTGATGAGAAGATCACGTAAGATTGATTATCAATCGATTGAACTAACTAGAATGAGTAATTAACTAAAATAATGTTTCTTGATCCGTGGATGAATATAATTAGTTTCATTTGAATTTATTTATGAAAAATTTATAAAAAAAGTTTGTAGAATAATATAGAAATTTTATGATGAATTTTATTTTATTTATTTCAATATTCTAGCGGATATTGAAAAAAATATTAAAAATTCATCATAGTTATATTTGCAAATAATAAATATTTTATATTCGTCATGGTATAGACTCTGAATATTAATATATTATATTATCATTTAATATTCTATTCATATTCTTATCAGATCTTTGTGTATATACAGACTCTTAAAAATAATACATTGTATCTATTTGATCTTTTTAAAAATGGACTTATACAATGAATTAAATATAAAAAGAAGAAAAGTGACAATTTATTTGATTGTTATAAAAATCGTGTATCAAAAAAGTATTGAGAATTAAAATACCGCCTGGTGTTTGGAGAAAAGCGTGAAAAATGTGTTCATGCATGTCACGTATGTGATTCCTCTACTCTCATCGAAAATTAATGAGCCATCCAACCGAATTCGTTGGTATTTACTCATCGTTGCTTCATCCGATGTCGTTCTTCAATGCCTTCCTCCGATATTAATTCCGATTTAAGATTTAAAAATTATTGTGTCTCCTAAAAGAAAAAAAAAGATATTAACATATTTTTTGAAGGCCATATGAAACTTTCTATTCAACATTATGTCGATTTACGATTATCGCTGTCATATGACTTTATAATTGAAGATATAATTGAAGTATAGTTGAAAAATTATAATTAAAGATATTGAAAATAAAAAAAGAAAGATATGTGTTCCGAAATTAAAATTTCTCGAATAATATTTTGATTATCGATTTCTTTATTGATATCTTATATTGATCAATGATTGAAAATAATAATTATTTTACATTTTAATTAACGTTTCATAAAATTTTTCTGTGATAACTTTTAAAATTTTTAAATATTATAGAACACATTAATAATTTAATATATTTTATACATTTGATCAATATATATAAAAAAAAAAGTATCATTATTTGAACTTGACTTTCGAAATCATATTACCTAACAAAAAAAAGAAAAGGATATTTTGATTCAAACATTACGAAAGTGATCATGTTACATTGTTCATTCTATAGAGAATACAAACAGTTGGAATACATTATCGACAATGAATAACGATCTTGTTGAACGTAACAGTTTCGTAATAGTGAACTTAGGGTTGCAAGAATACTATAAAAGACAAAGGAATCTGGATTCAGAATGCAATGACAGGGAACACGAGCCGTTAAGTGAGCCTCGTAATTTGTCGAACCGTCTCAGGTTACACCCAGAGGGGTGAACACCGGGTGAAAATAGGAGAGGGAGGAAGTCATGGCCGAGATTCAGGGGCGAGGAGAAGGGTGGATAAAGCTGTGGTTAAGCGGCATGTTTAGAAGGCGTGCACACTATCTCCCTTGTTTGCTGTAAAAACAAACCTGTGTAGCACTTTAGAGAGCCTGTTCGATCTCTCTGAATCGAGTTCTGCCTTTGTGTCAGAGCATTGTAACCTCCTCAAAAGATTGTTAATGAAGATAAATGAGCTCTTCAGTAGCCTAAGTAGTTTTATTAGTAACTTTTTGTCATTCAAGATGTAATTATTTTTTTGGATAGACTTTTAAAGATCTTGTTCAATCTTTGAATCCAGTTCTTTTTTGATCTTTTTAATTTTCTTAAAGAGTATTTTAAGTTGTTGATGAGGATAAGTGAGCTCTTGAGTGGTAGTTTAAGTAGCTGTATTAGTGTTTGCCATTAAAAATATGATTATTTTTTTGAGTAGAGATCTCTGTAACAAATTTTTTTTTTGATAATTCTATTTGATGATAATTTACTCAGAGAATCTTTAGACTATTGATGAGGATAAGTGCTCTTGAATGATAATCTAAGTAATTATACTTATATTCTTGTAGATCTTCTTTTAATCTGTCATAATATTGTGACTTCTTCAAAGAATCTTTAGATTGATGAAGTGTAAGTGTATTGTTAGTTAAATAATATACCTGTATTGAAATTATTATTAAAATTATAATTTTTTCGTTTTTGATATTTTCTTCTTCAGTTCTTTAAGATAAATAAAGATATACACCAATGAAGGAATATTAAAATTTTAACTTCGTAATAGCACAGTTTTTTTCAGATCATAGATATTAAATCCATTAATGTATTAAATCTCGTAATACTTCTGTTCCTAAATTATTAAAAAGTAATTATTTTTTTTAAGATATCATTATATTATATGATATTGTTATTAGAATAAAAATCATTAATTTCTACACATATTAAAACATCTTCTATAATAATTATCTAAAATAATCAAATAATATCAACTTCTTCCTATCGAAAAAACTTCAGCTAAACCTAACCTAAAGAGAATATCATTTTATCGGCATTTTGTGAAATTAATTCACGATTATCTCCAATTTTACGTTGATCTTCACGTTGAATGAAAAGAGTCAATGAAAGAAGTAAGTTCGTTTGAAATTCTGTATCGACAGTGTATCTATTATTTTTTTTTTTTCTTTTTTTTTTCTTCATTCTCTTTAATTCTTTCACGATAGTATAGTTCAGTTTTTCGAACGTTTTCGACGCGTGAGTGATCGTAGCCCGAGGGTTGGAACGTTTCTGTCGGAAAGTCGAAATGTGTGATTTCCGCAATTTCACCCTTCCAAGAGGATTGCCCGTAGCATTCGTCTTTTTCACGTTCTAGGAGATATAAAAGTTCGTATAAGATGATCTCTAGTTTCTTTTTTTCGATCTTATCGCGTCCCCTTGTTCGGTTTATGGCATGAGAATCAACACGTGACACAAGTTGATTCAATCGCAAACGAGAAATTTGAGGTTAGGATTCTTTTACTCTCAATAATAGAATTATATATAGAATAATAGAATTTTTTTTGAAGAGAAAGATTAAGAAGATGTCCCAAAAATAGGATTTAACTAAATTATTATACAAAATATGAAAAAAATCTTGAAAATTCGATTCTAAAAATCAAAATATAACATAACAGTGTAACAATTGATTAAAACTTGCATTTTATCTTGCTAATACAGATTTTTGTCAACTCAATGGAAATTTTCATATTTTTAAAGATTGAAGAACTAGAGTTGATCAAAAGTGTTAATATTTGTATAATGTATAATATACAGTGACTTAGAGAATCTAACCTAAATGCGTGATAATATTCTTAAAAATGCAAATTTATATAAATTTCTAAATATCACAATGTATCATTCCGTAGCTCTCATAACTTATAACTCATGTAAGAAATTGAAATTCAATTCAAATATTATTCAAAGGCTAATTATGTTATAAATATTACTAACCTCAACACCTGACACTATGTATCTTCCTTCAAGAGATCATAATTCTGTTTCTTTCGCAACAAACACATGTACAGAGTAGCTATCCAAAGTTACTGTCTGCCAAAAATCTGCACGAGGTCTTTTCTCGAGCTTGAAAGGCAGTTAAAATGCAAAGGCTTGGTCGAATGAGACTAGCGCCACCTATGCAGCCTCAGGTTCGCTGCTGTTTAGTATTCTACGTGCTGACAGCCCTCTTTTCCACGCCTAACCGTCCACGGCCATCCTCCCACGGTAACCTGCTTCGACATGGCATGTTCTTCACATTAATATAGAGCGGCTTAAGACAAAAGACGATCGACCTCGTAGCCCTTCTCCCTTCGAGAAAAGGTGTACTTGACTGCAGCGCCATCTAGCTCGCTAGCGCGTATATTTTCGTTAAGTTGAAGCCCCTGAAAGTCCCTTAAATTGGAGGATTTCTTACTCCTCCATACGTGTTGAATCTTGACCTTTGAGAGAAAAGAAGAAAGAGCGATTGGAAGGAACATAGTGATCCTGACGATCAAAGAGGATTTTTCTATATGATGTGTAGTATGTACCTTTTATGTTAGTCTTGAAACGAAGTGTAAACGAATGTATCAAGTGAATAGATATAGATGAAAAGATAAATAAATATAAATGAAAGTGCTTCGAAGTTTGAATTTGGCATTAAATTTTAATTCAAAAGATCCAGAAATTTAAATATCTAAGAATTTAAAGATTAAAAGGATTTGTAAAAAAAATCTGAAATTCAAAAATATTTTAAAAGTGAATAAAATTTAATTTAAAATCCAATGGTCCAAAAGTAACCAAAAGATCTAGAATTTCAAGATTCAACTTCTGAATCCATATTCGAAATAACAAAATTATATCATTTGACTAAGGCTTGCTTAAAAGAATGAATTTATAATTACCAAATATTCTCCAACATCGTTTAACCTCACAATTAAGCTCATGTTAAAATTATCGTTTGATTATTTTTCCAATATCTATTATTTTTCATCTTCGATATATATATTTAGAAAAGAAGTAATCAAAATCAAAAAATCTATATTACTATTTCTATTTCAAAATCAGAAATTTCGAGTGGTGAATCGAATCAGAGGCAGTGTTCTCGTGTTATGCAATCAACACGTGCGTGCAAACTGCACGGCATTGGTTTAACGATATGCAGACGCGCTCACTTATTTTTTTCGGGACCAGTTCTCCGGTGAGTCATCGGTCTGGACTCATTTTTGCACCAGGTTTAACGACCTCGTTTATCTGTATCTCTCTCTTCTGTCTTTCATGTATCTTGTTGATCGACCTGTTTTTGCAATATTTTTCTTTTTTCTCGAAATCTTGAAATTTGGATGTTTTTCGAAATTCGTCTGATAATTTCGTTTAATTTATAATTAATCTTTGTATATTGTATATATTCGAATAATATGTAAATGATTGAGAATATTTTAATATGAAATTAGAATTTTTTTTTTTCAATAAAACAAATTTCAAATAAAACAAATATTCAAAAAAAATAAGATAATAATATTCATAATCGTTATTACTATCAAGAATAATGTTTGTCTATTGCTATTTAATACAAGAATTTAATATTATTAAATTATAAAATACGTAAACGTTCATAATTGATCAGCTGATTAGAAGATAATAGAAAAGTGCAAGAAAATTGATCAAGGATATTGACAAGTTGATCGAAGCGGTTCGATATTCGCCATAGTGGAAGTTTCGAGGATGAATTTCCCGTTGGCCACTTAAACTGCGCCGACACGTATTTCCCATGCATTTTAAGGATTTCGGACAGCGTGAGGGGCCTGTGTTTTGTCGAAGTATGAGCACGTAGTTGTCGTGAAAGGATCATAGAGTGGACTTAGCTCGGGAATCCCGTGTAAAACTTGGCTGGAATAACAAAGTTTTGTCTCTTACCTTCTCCATTTTCTTTGCTCTCATGGAAACGAGTCTTAATCGACCTAACTTCATTTTCTTCGATTTTTTGACTAAATTTTTGAAAATAGATGGTACTTACATATTTCTCTTTTCCTTTCTTTCTTCTTTAGATTAAATAGTTTAACAAAAGAAATCAGTCCTAATTAGATGATTAAATTTATTTAATTGGAATTATCGTAGGAATTCAAGTACGTCGTAAAATCTTGGGTGATCTCTTCATTCATACAATAATTTTAAATATTCTGTCCAAATAACTCTTCTTTCTCACGTATAAATTTTTAATATCATTCCTAATATGGTAACAAGTTATTTTCACAAATCTTGACAAAGCTTGACCAGATTTTTTTTCCACTTTTATCATTTACATATATTGATATTCATTGATTCAAAAAGAGAGAATGGAATAGGGCGCCAAATGACTCAATATAACCTCAACTGACAAAGTTTCTTTAACATCAGTATTGTTTTTAATATGGCCACGAATTATCTTCACAAGTCTTGACAAAATTCCATTCATCTTTTTCATTCTTACTATTTACATTTGTAAAGTGAATCGAATATTTATTTCGATTGATATTTTAAAAAGAGAAAAAGAAAAAAGCCAAATAACACAAGTGAAATTTATCTTTAATATCAGTATCTCTAACAGTAAAATTTTTAATATGATTACGAGTTATCTTCACAAATTTTGATAAAATTCAACCATTCTATTTTTTCATTCTTATAAATTACATGTATAAAATGAGCCGATATTTATATCTGTTCATATTTAAAAAAAAAAAAGAAAGAGAGCCAAATGATATAACCTCAAAACAAAATTTCATGACAAATTTAAACGAAAGAATATAATTGTTTATTTAAAGTTTTTCAAGCAGAATGTTGAAGAAGCTGCATGAAAAAATTGTTTCAGTTACCACAAGTAAGTCTTTTAATTTTCTTTGTGTAAATTTTTTTTGCCATTGATATTACAACGAGATAACAGGGAACAGTAAATCTTAATTGTTAAACATATGATTTCGCATTATCATTGATCATGAACAAATATTTCCCGATATCTTCTTATCTAAATTTCCACGATCTAGTAATCTCATAAATTCCATTAAATAAATTTCGTCAGCCTTGTAAGAAAAGTTAATACGTAACGAAAAAATGTTCATTTTCTTTAAGACAAGTCTTACGTGTTCCAGATATGTGATTGGCAAAAGGCAGATAATATATCTCGCAGCTTATCTATCTCTAATAATACTAATAATATATCTTTACGATTCGGTTTTATCAATTCTATGGAATCGATCGAAACGATCCATGTTTCATTACATATTACCAGCTATTCATCAATCATTTACAAAAATAAACCGTTCTTTCACCAGAAAATTGCAAATCGTTGAAGCTTAAAACTAATTTTAACTAGAGAATTAATGAGTCGACATTCGTGTCATTATCCTCTATGAAATTTTTTGTTCTCAGTTACGTAACGTTACGTCGATCCCCCTACCCACGCGTGTACCATTTTGTACGCGGAAGTGAAATCCTTAACCTAGGTAATTTTGCTTAAATGAACCTCAAAGTTTCATTTCCTCTCGTATGTTAAAAAATAAATGTATCATAAACGGTTTCGCCGTTTATGAATAATATTCCTTTTTATTTTTCCTTATTATTTCGTATCATCATTTTAGCACTAAATGAAAGCATTGGAAATCGATTAGAAATCAGTTTGATATCGTTTATAAGCAGGAAGTGGCGTATGCGCTTCCGGTCACGTGGTCAAACATC